TGGGTGCAGCACACCAACATGGCACATGTATACATAAGTAACAAACTTGCACACTGTGCACATGTACCCTAGAACTTAAAGTATAATAAAAAAAAATTCTAATTTTTTTCAGCTTTACTGAGGTATAATTGTATCAAGGTATAATATTTTAAAAAGGTATAATATATAGAAACACAAATTACATATATTTAAGGTATGTCTGTGATATTTTGATATACACATACATTGTGAAGTGATTACCCCAGCCTTCTACTTTTTCAAGAGCTGTTAACTCACAATGACATTTGATAATGGTAAAGAAAAATGTTGAACGACGTTAGACTTTAACAAGTATAATGGTAAAATGACATCAAGGACTAATATTACTGGGCTCTTTCCATAGAAAAGGCCCTGTGCAAAGTGCAAAGCGCTTTCCGTGCCTTCCCTCATTTAACACACAAAAGAGCTCTACTGAGATAGCTACATTTAGCCTTCTCATTTTATAGATTAGGAATCTGAGCACCACAGACGTTTAGCTACAGGCCCAAAGATATAGCTATTCAATGGCACAGTTAGGATTTGAAATAGAATCCACTCTTTTAAGCTCCATGTTAGGATGACGAAGGAGATTTTCAGGCTTCCTAGCTCTGCCTGAGGTTCACCTTCACCTGCACCTCCCTCCTGGCTTGATCAAACCTTCCTGAATGTAGAAGGCACGGCTGATGCTTATGCATTTGGGGAAGGCAGATCCAGAATTCAGGAAAGAACACTCAAGCACCTTCCTATCAGTCAGCCACTGCTAAGGGCTGGAAGTGAAGGAGTTTGGAAAGCAGGAGGCACGCATGGTGATGCCATGGAGACAGGGATGCAAGCATCCTCAAAGAGATCAAGTCCGCAGAGAGGCAAGCTGCTCTCCAGGACCTGATGGCTGCTCTTGGAAGGTAGAGTCTCTTTCCTCACACAATTAGGGGATTTAATACACATGATCAAAATCACATAAGCTTCACAACTGTATTTTATGTTTGCTCCCAGAGCCTTCTCAAACAACTCCATGCCACTTGGTTTGTTTTTGTACTTTTTCCCAGGCCTGGGATGTCCTTACTCAGTCTTAAGGCTCCTTTCTAACTCTACTCTACCCTGAGGACCCTTTTTAAGATCTTTCCCAATCACACTATCAGCCAAAGCCAATTTCCCTTTCATTTCTCTCAAAGAAGTTTGTCAGTAAGCTTTTTTGATAATGGAGAAGAAAAACAAGAAGACATGCTAAAGCTCATTTTCCCAATACACCTCTACATATTTATTTATGAATTACTATATGCATGCACTAATATTAATGTCTCAAGACATGAGTTACTTTCAGGGCATGGGTCAATGTTAAAGGAAGTTGATTTATATCCCTATTTAAAGCTGCCAGTTTGATGATATCTAATGTTTTTCGTCAACTCCAGCCCAAGTACCATGATGCGGCTGTTGAACACCAACACTAGGAATGGGAGAAGAGACAGGATGGCCTTTTTCCCGTTGTTCATCTATGCTTATGTGATTTCAACCTGCACTCCTTTGCAGAATCCTTTTAAACCCTTCTGGGGACCAGTGGTGGTAGTTTAGTTAAAATCAGATCATACTAAATCTCCTCATCTGGGCGCAGGGAGACCCATAATGCCTTACCATCGGCAGAAAGTAAATGAACCAGGCAACAAAGATGAATGGACTATCAGATGCTCCCGGTGGGGGAGACCCACTCTCACGCTTCCCCTGGGATAACCTACACAGTATACTCCCAGCACATGACTGGCTTTCAGACACACATACACACGTACCACAAAGGTACCAGTGTCAATTTGCATGTTAAATATCAGTAAAGATTTTTTTAAGAGAAAGATCAATATATATGATTGTTCTAACATCTTTCTCCACCCAGTGGATTACTAATAAGCATTCCCCAACACATACACCCATGTGTACATACTGCGTACCCCTGTCCTAAACCACCTGAATTCCTGAGTCATTCATTCTGATTGGTGGGATGATGTTGCTTTGCATTGCCACGCCATTATTCAGTGTGAGTAGCCCTCACCTCCACAGCCAAGTCTGTTGACTTCTCACATCATGCCTCCCATTTCTGGTGTATTATGCCTCCTACCTGGCCTGAGTGCAGCACAATGTACAGAGCAGGCAATCAACAGGTATGTATCAAGAAAAGGGATGGGCTGAACAATTCTAAAGCCACCACACTGAATCACAGTGACGCAAGAAGTTTTTATAATAATCGTGCCAACTCCAACTCGGTTGAGTCTGAGTTCGCCCCCCAAAAAAATGTGATGGCATCTGTTTAGAGCATGCATGTGAAAGCTCCTCAAAATATACTGGTGCTATAGCAAATGAAACTTGTGACTTCTTCACGGGGGTGATTCTCCCAGGAAGTTAAGACTTGTGAGAGCCACTGGAGCTATTTTCGTTTAAAACATACGTAAAACTGAGGTGCTGACCTCATGTATTTGGTACTTATCTCCTAAGCATTCTTATGTTAGTAAATGGCCTAACTAGTCCCTAAAAGTAGGCAAGTCAGGTCACTATATTGGCCCAGCATTTCTTCTTACATACCCCTGTAGAAGTATTTGAACTTTGTTCATAGCTTCTGCCTGAATACTATTCTTCATTTATAATTCCCCTCCCTAAAGGATGTATTATTGGAATAATAAACCTAAACTACATGTGATATATCACTGCTTTGTGAACTGAGATTTTTAAACAATATGATTCAATTTATGAAAGTCTCAAGTTCTAAACTCTATGGCATGAGAGAGGAACAAAGTAATGATTATTTATGCTAAGCATTCCAAAATTTGATATAATGAATACACAAATTGCCAATGTAAGCAAAGCTTTGTTGGTGTTTTACACAAACTATATCAGAATCAGGACTGACTTCTGGTAGGTCAACCTCTAGTTAACCTCAGACATTAAATACATATTTTGGCATTTTTAGACATAAAGAAATACCCAGCCAATTGCAAGTATAGTTGATTCTTGATAATATGAATTAACAAAAGAGTCAGCACAGATAACCTTAAATGGGAGCTAAATAGAAAAATCAATTTTTATTTAGCTTAAGTTGTTCTTATATAATCCCCTTTCTATTTGGCATTCTTTCCCGCGCATAAGAAATGGATTTTATGCCAACGGCTGGGCGGTGTTGGTGGTTTGGGGGTGGGTATATTCCCTTGCTCATTAAGTGTTTCATTAGACTAATATTAAAGCTAATTTTCCTATGTGGTTGACCTGCATTTACAAAATTGTGGCCTTTATATACCTGCTTTAGTTTCACCTGAGAAAGCACATGAAAAGATGCTCAACAATATTAGACATTAGAGAATGCGAATTAAAGTTACCAGACGCCACTATGCACCTATTGAATGGCTAGAAATCTTGAAAAACTGACAATACCAAGCACTAATGAGAATGTGGAGGAAGCAGAATGGTCATATATTTCTGGTGGGACTACCCAGTGGTTCAGACAGTCTAAGAAACAATGCAGAAGTTTCTTATAAATCTGTGTATACACTGACCATTCGATCAAGCAGTCATATACCTAAGGCGTTTACTCAAGTGAAATGAAAACCTATGTTCACACAACAACCTGCACATGAAGGTATATGGCAGCTCTATTCATAATTGTCAAAAACTAGAAATGACCCAAATGTCAAACAAACTGCACTGCATCCATATAATGGGATATTATTCAACAATAAAAACGAACCAACTATTGATACATGCGACAACATGGATGAATCTGAAACACATTTTGCCAAATAAAAAAAGAAACAGATGCAAAAGGTTATATATTGTCTTATTCTACTCATATGACATTTTGGAAAAGACAAAGCTATAGACAGGGATGGAGAACAGATTAGTGGCTGCATGAGGCTAAGAGCCGAGGGAGGGTTTGACTGAAAAGAAGTAGCACTGGGGAATACCAGGGAATTTTTTTTGAAGGGGTGGATGATTACATTATTTTGAATTTTTGTTGTGGGCATGGTTAACACAACTCTTCATTTGTCAAAACTCATAAAACTATACACCAAAAGAAGCAAATTTTACTACACATAAATTAAAAAATCAAAGTAAAAGCCTCTTTCCTATATGGTTCTTTTTTCATAAAAACATTTGAGAATTACTCCTGTGAAAGTATTTAGCCTTTTCCTTCATCTGCCATAGTTCCTTTCTGGATTCCTTATTCAGGCTAAGTAAGACATACATGTTGTTTGTGGCTGTAAGCAATGGTGGTAAAAGAAACTTCTTTACCCCCTAAGATGGCAATGAGATTTCCAACTTTCCCCAGGTTAAAAAAAAAAAAAACCCTAACAAGGCTGAAAAAGTAGAAAATGAACATCAGCCCAGCCATATCAACAACAACCACATACAAACACAAAGCACTTGAAAAGTTTACGGAGAGAGATGCAGGGGGGCTACTGGAAGGATAGCAAAGACAAGAAAACAGTGAGAAAGAGCTTGAAGAATAGGAAAATGGAAGTCCTGTTAATAACAGAGACAGCAACATGAGTAGAAAATAAGGAATACGCCGAAGCAGCTGTCACTGGTTGGGTGCCTACCACGTGCCTGGCATGGTATTAGGAGCCCTACATCCCTTTAATCCTCAGAACTCCATAAGGTAGAGTCATTTATCTTCCAGATCACTGATAAGAACACTAAGACCCGTTTAGTTTAGATGACTTGCCCAAGTTCACATAGTAAGAGATGGAAAATGTGGTGAAACCCATGCCTACTCTGACAAGCAGAGCCCATGATTTCCACTCCACCAAGTTCCTCCAGGAAAAGATAACATGGCTGCCTTTAAAGATACAGATACCTCTAAAGGTAGCCATATATAATACCACACACTATTTTACGTATCTCAAATATAATACTCTGGGTGCTAGAGAGTACATGTATACTTCACGCAGGAGACATACTCTTGACAATTTGAGGGTAAACACAGTTTTAAAAAATTTTATCATCCTTCAAGTATACTCAGGAACTTCTCTTACAGAAAGAACCATAAAATAAATATTTTTGTAAAGCAAAGAATTCCTCTGTGATATAATTAATCACCTCATAATTCTTAAGCTGCAAAAATTTCAATTTTTCTCTAGTGGATTTTCTTAAAACATAACATACTTTCAACCTGCAATATATTTTTAAAAATCTATCTGTATTAGCCAGTCTTAGAAATGAATGAACAAGATTAAGAAGTTTTATGGAATGAATAAATGAAAGGCTTCAGTTAATTGCCTTTTATTTTATACCTCTTCTAAAGAAAAGAAATTATGTGATAAATTAAAATAATTAACATTCCATCTCTATCACTTGCAGAATCACTGTAACTGTATGCTAGGAAGTAATTCAAGGCACCCACATGGCCACTATACCCATTTACCAATTTATCTACTCAGTAACTAAACTCCATCTTGAACAGAAAGGGTGCTACCCAGAGGCCAAGACCACAGGAAGTCCAAGGGAGTATCAACAGCATTCTACACCCAAGATGCATTCACCAGCAGAACAAAATACTTAAATACTTAGACTTTCACTGAGACATGCATGGTATAAAAATCATTTTTAATTTTTTTCAGACTATCAATGCATAAAGGATTAGGGAGTAAAATTCTCTCTTAACAAAGTGATCAACTTTGTACACCATCTTGACAACTCCCACTTAAAAATGAACAGGAGGAACTGATCTGTCCAAAAATAGAGTCGTTACCCAGAAAAACCACAATCATGCAAAAAATAAAACATCTCAGAATTGGCTCTTCTAAAGAAAAAACTCCAATCAAAATACCTCATGCAACAAATAGTATACAATGCTAAACTATCTTTAAGAGAATGAAACTTAGAATTCAAATATGCATGGTTCCAAAATACGATCAGAAACATAGTAAACTAATACTCAAATCCAACCCCAAAACACAGAGCGAAGGGCTCAGAAGCTGTTCTAAAGGACCACAAACTAAGTTTCCAAAAGTTAGTCTGAAAAATACTGGCTTAACATGGTCACAGGAACTTAATTTTTATGGCACGGAACAAAAATAATGTCCCCAAATAATTAGATGGTGTGTCTGTAATTTGCAGAAACTCTTGTTTTTTCACTTACTGTCAGAATGGTGACATCACAAACATCAAATACTAAATACATTTCTAGAAAACCTGCAAATGTTTCCCATCCCCTTCAATGATGACACAAGTCCCCAAAGTCAAATATTCCATTCACTTATAAGCAGAACAATTCTACAGTGCCTGCAACAGTGAACTCAATGAGGCCACTTAAAAAAAAAAAAATCTAAAATTAAAATGTAAATGAGACTCAATGAATTTGATAATTTTATAAAATCCGCTCGAACGCTTTTGGAAAACAGGCTGCAAATGCTATAATTTCCCTTCTCTCTCTAGCCCTATCAAACAAAAAAGCACTTTAAGATATTTTCAAGATACTTCTAACTACAATATGAGTCTGCTGTTTCAGAAACACAATCTCAGAGGCAGGTACTTCAAATATATTTGCTGGAGGAAAAAAAACCCCACAACTTTTGACTGTGCGACATACTTTTTCTGGAAGCTGGGATTCAACTTCTTTCTTCAGTCTCCTTAGTAAAAATGGTCTTAACACCTTATGTAGACGTCTGATGATCAATATAGTTTCTTCTTCATTTAAATCCACCTGTAAGAGAGGCTCATATGAATTTGATGTTTTAAAGAAAAGGATGTTTCATACAACAAAGCTTTATGTTACACTTATATGGTTCAATACATGATTAACATTTTACATGCATTAAAGCCAGGTTTAAGCCTATCATATCTACCTCTGAATTATCTTCCCACCTGCCTACCAAGCGGTAACAAAATGACCTCTAAATAGATCTTTGTCTTAATGCTGAGTTCTATGGAAAAGAGTCCAGAAGCCACCAGTTTTTATCAGTAGTGTCAACAGCCCCAAATTGTACGGAATATGACTGTCAATGAAGACGGACTGAAGATTGAGATAGAATGGGAGAAGAGGGGCAATAGTTAATATGTTCCCTATTTAAAGAGGCAGCCTTAAGTTAGGCCCTTCGTCTTGGTTGTCTCAGACACAGAAACATACTAAAGGAACAGGGGCTTGCACATATAAAGAAGAGGAACAAGAGTCGATCCAGTTTATGCTGGTGGACCTCTAAGTCCCTCTAACTTCACTCCTTTCCTTTTCTCAGCCCTATCTAGTTCAAATTTAGCCAAACTTACAAATTTCCCGGCTTTCTCTTTCACCTTCTCCTATTAACCTCTAGGGGGCAGAGTTGATTGACACTACTTTCTACAAATGGGCAAGCCAGTGAGTTAACCACTGAGGAGGGGCCCATGTGCCTCAAAATCAAAGGGCCAAATACTTCAAACTGAAATTTTACTAAAGCATTTTTAGTGGCTTTTCATTCCTATGAATGAGGAACCACTATGAAAATGACATGTGCCCATTTCTTTTCTTGCAACGGCCCATTGTCTTCCTTTCATAAATGAGGTCTTAAGAGAAGACAGTGGAAGGAACAGTAAGAAACTGGAAAATAAATGGCTACTCCAGGAAGACAATTTATGTACACACAAAACTGAAACTCTCATTAAAACCTAAAAAGAAAAAAAAAAAAGAAAAGTGTGCAGAAAATTAGTGAAAACTAGTTCTGTTTTACACACAAACTCTTCATGTGGAAATATTTCAAAGGGAACTCCAAGTTTATAACAAGGAAAGATTTGTTTAAAGCTTGTATTTAGTTGTTAATTTGGTCTGGTTAAATTAATTCAGCAAAATATCTCCATGTTCATCCTCCCTGTGGCCCACTGGTTCCACCAGTAGGGACCCTTTTCTGGTAGCCTGGTAAACATGCTGGCAAAAGACAAAGGGGTTAGATGCCCTGTATACCACTAGATCCATTTTCCTAGGAGGGGAAAATAACCCCACCACAAGACCATGTCCACCCACCGATGGGTTTCATAAAATAAACAACATTGTAAACCACCCTGCGGGTGTTCTGTGGCAGTAATGTTCCCAGCTTTAGGGCCTTTCATTTCATGTCATTGTCATGCAGTAGAAAAAACAAAAGTCAGACCAGTACCCTTTCACCAGTCATGGCAAATGGAGCATTGAACCATTGTTCAAATGTGCTGCAGCTCTTAAAAATTGTGGGGAGGAGGAAGTTGAGGAGGGCCCAGAGTTCAGGGAGCTTATTCTGCAGCGGGGTCCCAGTCAAGAGGATCCTTCTGGGGGCCACATAGTGAGTGTTCAAGACCTGAGTCAGCTTGCAGTGGTGATTCTTCATTCGGTGGCCTTCATCCACTATCATGTATTTCCACCGAATCTATAACATAAGAGGAAGGACGGACATGTAGTAAGCAAGGGAAAATACAACTATTTCCAACAAGCAAGTAGTGGTGCAGGAAACCAAAGAACCCATCCTTGGTATATGATATGCTGTGATTACCTTTGAGACAAGAGAATCTCAACAATGTCTCATGCCTGATAGGCCGCATAAGACATCCTGTAATAATAGAATGTTAAAGCAACAATGTTCCTTACAGACCTCGTAATTCCAAATCAACTTTTTACAAAGAAAGAAAGTTGGGTCCAGAATGACATGGTTGTTCCTACATGTGGATCCTGTATCTCCCCATCCAGTGCCCCTTCTAGTAATACTGTATCATGACAGCTATCCCAGATTTCATTGTCATGCTATTTCGGCTCATGACAGGCGCAGAATATAGGTACCCACCTGAAGCAGAGGTTAATGACTGATTTTTCCAAGATGGCCCTAGCAGGTTCTACAGCTGAGATATTCCTGGCTCCATACCTTCTTTTCTATTAGCCTGGCTGGTTACTACCTTTAGGGCTTGGCTGGGAAGTGTGTTTTGTTTTGTTTGGACTGGTTGCTAACATTTAAAAGTTGGACCATTTCACATTAAATTTGTACATACAGCTCTTCAAAAATTAGGTCTGACAACCAAGCTCCCTCAATACATGCACATTCCTTACCTGCCAGATCTAGGACCCCTGTTTTATCTAAAATAAAAGTATATACTCACTGGCAGAAAGGGCAGTGCAAAAATATCATTCCTCTATTTATGCCAAAACTGCAGAATTAAATACAGCATACTTCCCCAACATGACTATTGCATAAAACGTCCAGAATGCTTAAATGGCCCAGTCCTCTATCCTGTCTACACAGTCCCTTTCCTCTCTCATGCCTTGCCCTTCAGTCCTCTTAAGAGCACTGTTCAGTTTCTTAAAGTGAGAACAATGAGGAATGTTCCACTAAGTCTATCCATTCTCTACAAAACAGTGGCTATGGCCAAGAAAAACATCTGGTGCTCAGATGTCCCCAGATCCTGCTGCAAAGCTCCTAGAGACAGAAGGGAGATGAGGGAAGTATTCTATACAGTCCTTGCCTTCCTCATTAGAAGCATCAGACATGCCGGGGGAAAAGGAATAAAATTATCAGTCAGGCTGGGATGTATAGGTAAACAAACAAACAAACAAAAAACCTACCTCAATTTTTCTTCCTTCCTCCACCACCTCTAAGGAAAGTGCTTAAAGGATAATTAAAACTGTACAATCAACTGCCTCAAACTTACCAATAGCATGAAAAGAGGTAAGCAGATAAAAATATATTTAAATAAATATCCTAAATCTACTTTCTTGCCTAATTTAGCTTATGAAGTAATAAAGAATCAGAGGCCTTTGATTTTGCTATTGGGTCTACTACTAATTAGGTCTTCCACTTGGACAAAATTACTACCCCTTTCTATAGCTCCATTTCTCCAGTAACAAATAAAAGCAATGCATCTCATTACCAGGCATCTCCAATGAATCTTGAAATACATATGCAGATGACACAATATGAATTTTTTTAAAAGGATCTCAAATGTACAAATACATTCCCATAGTAATATTGAAAACACATCATTTTCGACACTGCCAAATTCATCTCTGAGTGTGAGGAGGTGGAACACAACATCGTTGCCAGTGCCATCTCAATTATTAAACCTCCCCTGGGAACACATTTCCTTTTTGTTGTTTCCTATGATGCCATGAAGGGAACTCTCAGTTCCCAGAGCAAGAGTTTAATGCAGAGATAGAATAGACCCCAGAAATAGAGATTCTATTCAATTTTGGACATAACTTAGTTTCAGATTATAGTGCTTTCAAAACATCATGGGGTAAAAAAAAAATTACTAAAGAGAAAAAAAATGAGTTTTCATTATTTGTTCCATGAGAGAGAGTACTTCCATCTTTCTACATGAATGTACTAGAAGACAAGATGATATAAATGGGGGTAAAAATTTCTACTTTGTGGCTGAGGAACAACTTAGGACACACAAATTAGGAGACACGTAAGTCACAGAAACACCTCTTTCTCAGTTTCAAATAAACAGTCACAGAAACAGCCTTGAGTAATTCCAACAATGATAGTCTATTATTTCACCAGGAAAAACCTGAAACAAGACTACCACAAAAGCCAATGCTTGGATAAACGTTCATATGGTGGAGACCATATGCAGAGGTGTCTGGCTCATCTTTGGAGAAACAAAGGCACAAGAGGAATGAAGTTACACTGACAATATCTCAGGGCAACAAAAACAATGATTTCTCTCCCGAGAATGTTCAAAGCTGTTGGAGAGAAAAGAGTTGCAGAAGCAACCAGGTGAATTTTTTTAAGAGATGTAAACTCATCAACTCTGAGAGGACAGTCAAGAGCCATTCCAGGATCAACCATACACACACACACACACACACACACACACACACACACACACAAATAGCATGCATGAAATCAAATCCATGACCTAAATACATCAAACTCTGACAAAATTTTTAAAAAATAAAGAAAGGGACAAGCCATCTAAGGATCTAATTATACTATTGATTTGGGCAATACTTCACATTCCAGTGTGATGGTCCATAATTAGAGAGAAAATAATTTTTTAGAAACATACCTTTGCAAGAATGTGCTTGTCTTTTATAATATACTCATAAGTAGTCAAGAGGACATTGAATTTGCCACTCCGTAGCTGGGGGACAAGGGAGCGACGCATGGCAGGAGTACCCTGAATGGAAAGAAAAAAGTATATGCATGATCCTATGGACGTATATGTGTGTTATTTCTCACTATTCATAGCTTAATGATGCCCAGACATGTGACTGAAGAATGCACAGACACACATTCTCATAGACTGATCTATTATACACGAGGAAGTTTTGGCTAAATTACACGTCTTGACCCTTTTCAGATCTTTTTTAGAAAGGTTTTCCCACCAAAGACAGCGGGAGGGCAAAGAGAAATGACAGTGACTTTGTGGTAGTAGAGAACCCACTGCTCTGCTGAAAGGCTCCAGTTCTTTTGAGAAAGTACAGCAGGCAGCCCGGGTACCCGGGTAACTGCCTGACTTTGCAGGAACAGTCGGCACAGTAGCAGCCCACAGCGAGCCAGTCAGCAGCACGCAGAATGTGTGATATTTGTCATTTGTATTACTCTCATCAGAAACCTTGCAATATGATAATTAACAATTTTCTTCTGGATTTCACTATCTGAAAGTAATTATGGTTTATTACAGTAATCTTCTTGGGATGATTAACTCTCACGGTTTAGTACATGATGTACATGACAAAACTTTACAACCAAATACAGTTCACAGATGTGCATATGGAATGAAGAAAATACGGTCTATTTTTTGCTTTTCCACATTTATATATAAATACAGCATTCCAAACCTTGTAAGAAATTTTCACCACAGAAGGAGCCCATTTGTCAAATTCATATGTCCAGTTAGATAGAGTCCTATGGAACAACAAAAAAAAATACACAGAAAAAAGACATTTGTATAAAAATCAATGGTTAAAAAGATGTTCTTATTCATTTTCAGGCCTCACCTTGAAAGGGGCTACAGAATATAACATATCTCAACAACATATTTTAAAGGTGTGGAAATAAGAGATAAGTTCAAAATAAACTGTCACAAAACATGACAAGTTTGTGGTTCATAAAAAAAATCTTGTAAGAAAAAAACCAGAGAATATATAGAGAGCAAAAAACTAAACTGTAATACGGTATTTAAAAAGAGCAATTGCCAGAATAATTTTAGGAGTCTTCACAAACAGTCATATAAGTTCAGAAAAAAGTTGAGTCAGGAAAAAGAAATTACAAAACCACATGAAAACATAAAATAAATCTGTCAAGAGGGAACAGGGGAAGAAATATTGAATGACTTTTTTTAAAGGCCTGAAAGTGTCACTGTATATATGATTCAGAACGTGCAAAATATAGATTAAATGCAAAAGATGCCTAAATATTATAGATACAGATAATTCATACAAAAAGGACTGCAAATAGTCTTCATTAGAAAAAATTCAAAGAAAACACAATAATATTAATAGAATCCTTCTTCTTACCGAAGGTCCAAGTTCCTATCAGCATTGAGATCTATAACAAGAGCTCGGTGAATAAAGCTGCAACCTAACACCCACAGGCAGACACACTGAACTCCCAGGGAGGGTGCGTGTGAATCATTATGCCCTCACTCAGTAGTGTCCACTTAGGACCTTCTAAGAAATACCCAGTGGGTGAGGCACTGGGAACGTAATGGTGAACAGCAAAGGCCTGTCCTTACTAAGCAGCAAACTCATTGAAACATAACCTCAGTGCACATACTAAGGTTATTTTAATGCAAAATTCATAGTTGTGCTTTTGATTTCTATTCCGCTTTAAAAGGAAGATTTAAGAATATATAATCTTTTGGAAATGGAATAAGGAAAAAATCAAAGAAACCTCACACACCCACACACACACACACACACAAACTTTCCCCTTTGTGAGCCACTTAAGGAATAATGATGAGCAAGACTCACTATGCAGTGTTCAGGCTGTATAGACCTGTAATGCTAATGGCTGATAAAATCACTTGGTCCCCTGCTTAAAAGGCCAATCAAACAGGCTAGGATGGGGAGGGGTCGGAAATTAAAACCTAAATCCAGATTACATACTCTTGGTAATCTGGATTTAGGTGACTACATGCTACAATTCTGTCTTAAGTAAAAAACAAGGATAAGCTACTAATCAACATACAGAACGATGACTGTGGAATAAATGACTTTACTTACGAAAGGGGAACAATGATGAGATAGGGGCCATTGAGTCTTTTGTGCTCCATCAGATAAGTGATGAGTGCAATGGTCTGTATGGTCTTTCCTAGCCCCATTTCATCAGCTAAGATTCCGTTCAAATTGTTATTATACAGGGAAACCATCCATTCCAGGCCCTGGAGCTGAAATGAAGAGTAATTGCTTCAATTATCCAAGATCTGCACAGGTAATTAATACTAATACAACTCAAGCGAGGCTGTGACTTCTTAACTCCTCAGTGCTATATGTTGGGTCTCCCACAGTAGGAAAATGGGGGAAGCACCAATGCAAAAAGAATGTAAAATATGAGCCTGTAATCATTCCCGCTGCTTGGCAGGTGCTGAGTGTTAATCAGATTTAGAAATGATGGGCTGTAGCATACTGGTGAGTTTTAAAGCAGCTTTGCCGCTCATCCATACTTAGTATTTCACAGTATATGACATTCTAGAATTACTATAAATGAAAAAAGCCCAAACCAAAATCTAATCCAACCAGTCCAAGAATAAAAAGCCAATGTGAAGGTAGATTTGGCACACAGATCACAGATTATTAGAAACAGCCTTTTTGGTAATGAAAAGGCTACCCCCAGGGTGAGGTCCCCTCAGTGAGAAGGCGGAGTGACCAGGAAGCCAGGGACACTCTGCTGGGACCACAGGAGGACATTTCTCTTCCTGGCAGGGAGAAAGTTCCCAGGCAGCACATGCAAACTTTGCAATGTGAATACTCCCCAAAGGCTGCACATGAAGCTGGTGACTGGAAACACGCTCGACGTATTTCTGAAGTAAAAAAACACTGCACCAGAGATTCCCCACGTTAAGTACACAAGTAAGGTTGGGTGAAAATAAAAAGTTGTTAAACCTCCATCCCCCAATCAACAATTCCCTTCCACCATCATACCACAGATGCTGGATTTAAATGATAGGATCAATTATATATATATTTGCTAAAGTCAATTCAGCTTGCTAATGATGTTATGCTTAGGGAAATGTTAATTTTTTATGTAAGAACAAAGCAAGTAATTAGTTTATTTAAAATATTTATTAAACGACTATTCTGTGCAAGGGGCCATGCAAGGAGCTGTAGCAGATAGATACGAAGGTCTGTAAGATGCATGCCTCCCTTCGGAAGCTCAAATCAAAGAGAAAACAATGAATGAGGCACATATACACATATACCAAAAAGTGGTTGACAGTGCCAATGTATATGTATACATATAAAACTGTATTGACAAGAATTTTTCTTAGGGAGACACTACATTGGTTTGAAGCAATACTTCCATAAGGCACTTGAGATACTTTGTACCATGCAAGATTCCAAAGTCATCCTAAAGGTTTCTGCAGAAATACAGCAACACCAAGAGGTAAGTAGAGAAACAGGAAGACCCTCCAAGAGAATGGGCAAAAGATAGAGGGAAACAGTGGAAATTATTGTAAAACAAACAGTGGTAGACAGGAGAAGCTGTCTGCCTGCAATGTGTCCCTGAAACCACTAGACCTTTAGAAAAGTCAACTAAATACCAGAAACATTTTGGATACTCTGTAGGATGAATTTTTTTTTAAGTGAAAATTGATAAAGGGCTGAATTTTGCATTTGCGCTAATTCAATACAAAACAGAAGCAGAAACTAGCAACAGAGGAGACCAGAAATTCACAAAAATTGTGGGAAGTAATTTAGGTTTTCTCAGGCTGGAAACTGGCAGAATTGGCCAGGGGGAGGATCACATGTTAAACCAAGCTTATGTGGCTCTCTAGGAGTAGCAGGAAGACCTCAGCCATGTCAAGGTTAAATAAATATTAATGACACAAAAACCTGTCAAGAAGCAAGGAGGTAGAAAGCTTACTTATGGAGAGAATGATCAGGGAAGGCTTTGAGCCACAACTTGAACTGGTTTGTGAGATCTCATCAGGCAGATATGGCTAGTCAAGATTCCAGGAAGAAGGCACTTTATGAGATATAAACCCAGAGAGACACTGCAAGGCATGTTCAGGGAATGTATAGCAGCTCAGCAACACAGAGGCATAAAACTCACATATGGAAGTAGAAGCTGGCTTTGAAAAGAGAGTGATGAAGAGTGCTTAGAAGGGTGTTGGATGACAGAAGAAAATCCATGTGGCATTAAAAGTTATTTACAAATAATTCAAAAGATGGATCTCCCATATACAGATACACAAAAGTTTTATTAGAGCATGCTGTGGGTTAACATCTATGTCAGGTAGGCCAAATAAGATGAAACCTGCTTTGGATCTCATGACTATGACATGGTCTTTGGAGAACACACGACCTTACTAAGGCCAGAGCAGTGGTCCTCAGAATGTGCTCCAGGGATTCTCAGGGGGCCCCCAAGACCTTGGCAGGAGATCTACAAGGTCAAAATGATTTGAACGACAATACTAAGGCATCACTTGTCATTTTTACTGTGTTGACATCTGCACTGATGATGTAAAAGCAATGGTAGGTAAAAACTGCTAGTGCTTTAGCCCAAATCAAGGCAGTACTGTACTCGCAGTCATTGTATTCTGCACTCCTATGGAAGGGCAGCGGACACAGTGCCAAGTGTTAAGAGTGGAGAGGACCTGATACCAACAAGTACACTTCCTAAAGTATATTCTAGAAGATGCTAGTCTTACAGGATGTTAATTGGTGATATAAAAATAGGGCTTGGTAGTCAAAGTAGTTTGGGAAATACAAAGTTAAACAATGTTAAATAAGTGATTTTCCTGCAGGATGCTAATGTGCATTATGGTTACACGTTGATTTCCACAGAGTCCTAAGTGTGCTGATGGGCATGTGAATTAACAGGAGGTGTCACTGCCAGAGTGACCATATCTGGTTGTTGTCAAGGGACAGTCCAGGGTTATGCCTATTATCAATAATGAGACTATCGACTCATTCACAAGTATTCAATTTAGAAACAGTAATTTATATGTTAATCTTAGTTACAATATTTGGCCATAAACTTCTTTTTTTTAATTTTTTTTTTTTTCTGAGACAGAGTCTCACTGTCACCCAGGCTGGAGTGCAGTGGCGCTATCTTGGCTCACTGCAAGCTGCGCTCCCAGGCTCATGCCATTCTCCTGCCTCAGCTTCCTGAGGCTGAGGCTGAGTAGCTGGGACTACAGGCGCCCACCACCACGCCTGGCTAATTTTTTTTTGTTTTTAGTAGAGATGGGGTTTCACCGTGTTAGCCAGGGTGGTCTCCATCTCCTGACCTCATACTCCGCCTGCTTCAGCCTCCCAAAGTGCTAGGATTACAGATGTGAGCTACCACGCCTGGTCTCTTTTTTTTAATTTTTAAGGAGCAATTCATAGAACAAATGTCTCATGGAACACACTTTGGGAAACATCACAAAGTGGTAGAAGGTAGAACACAGGAATTAGCCTCAATTACAGGTCAAAAAAAACATTGGCCTAATTTTTAATCAAAGCACAGATGCTCACAATTTTATTGTATCTTTTTTTTTTTTTCTTTTTTTAGATGAATTCCACTTTGTCACCCAGGCTGGAGTGCGGTGGCATGATCTTGGCTCACTGCAACCTCCGCCTCCCAGGCTCAAGCGATTCTCCTGCCTCAGTCTCTGGAGTAGCCGGGATTACAGACGTGTGCCATCACACCCGGCTAATTTTTGTATTTTTAGTAGAGACAGGGTTTCACCATGTTGGCCAGGCAAGTCTCGAACTCCTGACCTCAAGTGATCCACCTACCTCAGCCTCCCAAGGTGATGGGGATTACAGGAATGAGCCACCTCGCCTGGCCTATTGTGTCTTAAGAAAAAGCATAAATGTAGTAGACAGCTACTCCTAGGCGGGTTGAATCCATGGCATAAAACCACAGCCACACCTACAGATTTTAAAGAAATACTTCATCTGCTTCAAGATGAGGCGTGGATGTTCTCCAGTTTAATAGAATGTGGCTGGGTTTCCCATTTTGCAGAGATCACTTAAAATACATCCCAAAAGCATAAAAGAGAAAATGGGTATGGCATGCCCTAGTAAAGATAGTAACATGGAGTACTCTAAAAGAAGAATTACAGGCACAATGAAAGGAATCTCAGTATTATAAGTGATGTGGCCTAAAATGTCTCGTCATCAAAAGCCCTTAGTTAACATGTGCATGACATACTTCAATCAAAATTAGGCAAATGGTTACAACTTGCCAAGGAAACACAAACCACGCCAATTACCTGGTAATGCTTTAGGGTTCCGTTAATGAGGAGGGCGGACTGTTTCTCCACCCTCTCCGAGATGGCATGAGCCACGGTGTAGTAGGACTGGGAGCCCCTGGCACTGTACTGCATGCTGTATTCATCATCCACGTCTTGCTTAGCTGTCCTGGGAAAGGAAAAAGTGGAGAATCACACACAGACATGTGTGTGCATGTGTTGTTTTACTTCACTCAAAAAATGATTTGAGAACCTAAAATAGCTGCAATAAGTGTGTTTTATTTATCAACCACTACTTGCCATGCAGTTAATATACACTATCTGTAATCCTCACAAAAAGCAAGCATAAAAGGCATGATGATGATCATCCCCATTTTATGCAGGTGGAGAACCTGAGGCTTACAGAGGTTACTTCATTTGTTTGAATCCCATAAAAGGTAGTGAAACCAGGATTCAAATGCAGGTCCCCTTGACCCAAAAGACAGATAGGAACCAGAAACCTACACCTGCAGTTGAACATTTTGCTGATGAAGTCGTCCTAGACTGTTAAATACAAAGATAAATCCTGTTCACAGAACACTGGCTAAAGCTGGGAGGGCAGGGGGAGAGGGCAACCCAACATTAAAGGGGTAGGAAGGAGGAAACGCAGGCTTCTATCTTCTGTGTCTTGTTCATGAGCTAGTCTGTTATTCCATAGGCAATGAGGAACCACTGAGGGGGATTCTTAACGCCTTCAGTGAAGGATCAGGGCAGACTGGTAAGAGGAAGAGTCCCTGAAGTGGGGCACACAGCCAGCAAATAAAAGGGAAGAGTATGAGGATGTCTATTTCTGGTACTTAAAATACCTCATCTTTTAAAATTTTCTCTTTTGTATATTGTTTCACAACAGTTTTCTTTTCATAGTCGAGCTATACAAGCAAAGAAATGTGCAAACCCTTGATGTAGAGGGCCCACAGGAATGGATGAGACACAGAGCCAGGACACTCGGAAGGTTGGAGAGGGTCCAGGGACTGGGCGGGAGTTGGTGGTCAACTTGGCAATGGCAGCAGGAGGAAGACAGGAATGGTGTCTCTCACTTGGGTTTCAGGGAGAGTGCCGATGTCATTAAGGGAGGCAGGAAAGGGAGCGAAGCAGCCAGTTAGGGAGGTAAGTCTCATTAGTTCAGTCTCGGATTGAAGTGCAGACAACAGGTGTGACGCTCAGGAGTGAGCCTGAGCTGGAGGAGGGGATTAAGGAGAGAGAAGAGGAAGTGAGGAAGAAAGGGAAGGAAGGAAGGGAGGAAGGGAGGGAAGGAGGGAGAATCAACATGAAACCCCGAGACCTGGGAACCCAGAACTCCGTGGTGACCTCTAAGAGCAGTTTCAAGCAGAGTGTAGGTGTGAAGTTAGTTGCCTTCCTTAAACAAAATTTCCTAAAAGAAAATTCATGAAGCATCATCCTCAGGCAATGCATTTCCAAGGGAAAAACTCAATACACACTCAATGATCTGCTTAGCATCCTTCTCAGAAACTTCTTCGCTATTTGGATCCAGGAGTATTTTCTCTTCGGTTTCCTGCCTACTGGACTCTTCTTCCTCGTCCTGGAGAAGGAACAAAGATTGGGAGGAAATTATATTTTAACAAGGAAATCTCTATGATTGACATTTTCTGAAAAGACATGAACTAGTATTCAACTTCACAAATGAAGTAAGATCATAAAATTCAGGGAGGAAGTAAATTTTACATCTACTTAAGTGAGGCAATACCCCCATTCCATTGCTGTTGAAATCATGAATGAGAGAATGAAGGAAACTCTCTGAGAATCCCCTAGAACCCTTGCCCCCAAGAATGAGTATGTAAACATCATGCCAGAAACATAAATATTTATCATTATTTGGTTATCAGAGTCCTGTAGAGCATGTCTGCTCTCACTCAGTAGCATTCTCTCTAAAGCCATATTGTAGAGATATTAGGATCCTCCTTCTCATACAAACACTCTGCTGGGCGCAGCGGCTCATGCCTGTAATCCCAGCTACTTGGGAGGCTGAGGCAGGAGAATCGTTCGAACCCAGGAGGCAGAGGTTGCAGTGAGCCAAGATCACACCACTGCACTCCAGCCTGGGCAACAAGAGTGAAACTCTGTCTCCAAACAAAACAAAACATAAAACAAAACAAAAAAATCCACTCTCTCTGATAACGCCCATGGGACTTGGATGGCCCCATACACGTCCACTGTAGAGGACCTGGATCTTGCAAGCACACTGCTTTCTGTGGCTGATTCACATCACACATCACACATCACAGAGTACTGAGACTAAAAACTCTCAATAACTTGGCAAAGGATTCAATACCTCTCCCTTCTCAACTGAGTACTACATCCAGCTGACCCATTTGAAAGCATCGCTAAATAAATGTCCATTCTGTCCACTACTAAACTGGTGTAGAAGGCTAAATCTTTCCAGACAATCCAGTAGAATTTCCTTGAAAAGCGGGTTTAAAGAGAACCATGCTTTTCCATAAATCTTAAATGACAAAGTATGAACTGACATACTATCAAGGAGAAAAATCAAACCTTACGATAGCAGTTTAGAAGCAGGGAGTAAGCTAACACATTGGCACAACTCCTTCATCTTCCAGGCCAGGAAATAAAATGCTGAGAGGGGACATGACTCTCCACATGTCACTCAGGCTCACCTGCAGCAGACCCATGCGATGGGCCCAGGGACAAGGGCTGTCTGTGCCCGTCATTCTCAGGTTGGCACCTGCTGGCTAGGCGGCCTACTTTATCTTATCTCTGCCCTCTCTGGCTCTCTTAACTCAAAGAGAAGTTTCTTTCAGTAGGTCATTTATAAGCCCATTCATCCAAGTAAACAAACCACCTTTAAATATCTTAGAGATAGAGTAGCTGGGGGAAAAAATAGCATCCCCCAAAAAGTATTTGCTTTTTTTAAAAAAAAAAAAACAGGATCTTGCTCTGTCACCCAGGCTGGAGTGCAGTTGCGTGACCTCAGCTCACTGCAGCCTCTGCCAGCGCTCAAGCCATCCTCTTACCTCAGCCTCCTGAGTAGCTGGAACTGCAGGCATGCATCACCACACCCTGCTGATTTTTGTATTTTTTGTAGAAACAGGGTTTCACCATGTTGCCCCAGCTGGTCTTGAACTCCCGGACTCAAGCAGTTCTCCCACCTCAGCTTCTCAAAATGCTGGGATTACAGGCATGAGTCACCATGCCCTATCGTGTTTGCTTTTTAATGATCATACATTATATATGAATAATATATATATGAATATATATGCATCATATATATTATATATGAATATAATGTAACTTTTATTATTCTTCCTTTTTACAAAAGCATTAAGTGCTCATGGAAGAGTAATTTGGAAAACACAAGTCTACAAATAGAAGGAAAACAGCCATAGTCTTGAGATCCTGGTCAGCTATTACAGGTAAGGATGCTTTACCTGGTCCTTGGCACCTATACTACGGCACTCTCAAAAATATCGGATCTAATGACTTATTATATATTAACTAATATATATTAACAATGCCCTAATAAAGGAGATCAAAACTTCTTTTAATACTTCTATTCTTAATTATGACATTAAACATTTTGTAGCTGACTTAACGAATATTTTATATTTCTCAATTTCTATTAAAAGTATCCAAGATTCCCATTTTAGGTTCTAGTTATACTAAGTATTCCTTCCAAGAGAACTGAGCGCTTCTCTTTGGGTAACAAGTATATTTAAGGAATTCAAACAAGAATCACATTTGGAGAGAAATCAAGAGGATCAATAAACTCATTAAACCAAGCCCATGTTGCCCTTTTTTGTCCAAGTTTCCAGACTCTGAATTGCAAATAGACTCTAAGGTCTGAAGGACTTCAGAACTTTTTGGCAGCTAATTCTCAGTGTGAACCACTTAGAGGTATGGCATGGCCTTTCCCAAAGTAATCCATCTCCAATTCTCCCCCAAAAGACCACTTCACCATCTCCAAGTTAATGCCAGCTTCTCTTTTCTTGGTTACAAGTGAATTTAGAACGTGCCAAGTTTCCCCATTAGCCGGGGCCTCCCAAGAGATCACTGTACCTCTAGGCATACACCATCAAAGCATTTGTAAATCCTTAGCCCCAGCTGTCACTCAAAGGCCAATCCAGGAGGAAGAATCGATAGAAGGACACAAGGCCCGGGCTTACATGCAGGAAGAAGTTTCTTCCTCCGACTACTTTCAAACCAATAAACCCCAAACAGAGATACATACATACCTCCTCCTCGTAATCAGAATCACTCTCTTCACTGTCGGATCTAGGGGCAACTTCATAACTAAGGAAAAAGAGTGAGGAAGAGGAGGGGGCTTAGTTTTTTAAATTCTCAAACAATAAAGACACACATGACTTAATAGCACATTCTATGTATAAAAGACAAATCCAAATAACAACTTCAACCATCTCAGCAAAGGCTGTGTAGTTTTAGTTTCGAGATTGTACAAGATTACCAAAATCTAAAAAGCTAAAAGAACACCGTGAATGCTGCTTTCATGCCTTACCCAGGATTCATTTCCAGCCAGGCGTCCAGCTGACTTGCTTTGGGTGCTTCTGGTCCGAACAGAACCTTGCCGGTTTCTGTGTGAGTCACTTTGACAGGGAGGTCACTCATCTGGCTGCTCTCATCTATGGGCTACAAAGGAGAGAAAATCATGTCATGGCTTGATGTTAAGACCTTCTCCCAGTTCTTTACTGGATGTGTCTCAGCATTTTTTGCTGCCCAGCATCTGAAACCTTATTCTGTGTTTGGAAATTTCACTACCTAATGAGTTTTGGTGGGAGGCGAGAGGCTACCTCCCACTAAAAAAACTGAAAATGCTGCCTCCCTGGCAGCTAAGATACAGGCACAAACCTCACCTCCAGCAACCAGATACATCACCAAGGCTGTGAGTTAGGAGCTAGAAGTGCCAGGGTGTGGAAACCAACAGGTACACTGGTGCAGGGCAGACCACAGTAGCAACAATGCCTGGAAAGTGGTAATGGCTCTATCAAGCTTCTGCCCGCTCCCAACCACAGCCTGTCCTCACTGGACCAGTTGTAGAGCATAATATTGGGGATAGCCCTGAGTCAGGTTCTTCAGAAACCCTGGAGATCTGATGAGTTGCCCGGTATCCTATCAATATATTCCCTTTGTATTTAAATCAGGCAGAGTTGATTTCGGTCATTTGTAACTAACAACCCCCGATTCCTCAACTAACACTTTCCAGATAACAACTACTGCAAAGTCATGGTTTCACAGAGAATGAAAAACAGAAAAGGTATTATAACCCATGTCGTCTCATGAGTGGCTGGTTTGGTCTCTGCAGAACCGGTGTCCTTTTTCCAAAACTAACCCCCCAGGTATCTAACCCAACTATTGGTATCTTTGAGTGTGACAAAGAAAAAAGTTCTGCTCCTCTGAAATCTGGCAAATTGATCAAGATTAAGCTAAAGTTCATTACTAGACTACTATATCCAAGGAACACAAGAATCACACTTGAATATAATCAGTAGCGAATGACTGCTCCTGGTTACAGGGTGACCTGTACTTCTAGAAGCAGATCCCTAAGTAAAATGTTTATTTGGAAATGTTTGATTTGTGAGTGGTTCAAGTTATCTATCTCCTGAAAAGTAATAAAATTGAATTTTTAGACAATTCAAGAATTCCAAAATTTTTCCTAAATTCCTTTCAATTGGTTAAGCAGAAATGATAGGATAACCTACAGTATGCTATAGTTTATCTTCCATATCTTATAGGAAATGACCAAAAAACAAAACAAAACAAAAAACACATAGCCAAAGGTTCTTTCCCCTTACACCCTCAACAAAGCACTGTCAGCATAAGAAACAATATATTAGCAATTATCCACAAAAATAACCTTAAAAAGAGAAAAGGCTTACTCTAGGTTGTCGTTTTTCTCTTTTGTGTGTGCTAAAGCAATGGTTTTGAACATCATTACTTTGCATGCCAACATGACACTTCTTCCTCATTAATGTAAAAGGTCATCTATATACTCAAGAGATAAAGAAGAAAATCTACAATTTGCTATCATTTCCCTTGGAAAAATCATATTCTGTTATCATGAACCATTATAATATAGCTTGTTTTTGTGCTAATGTCATGCCTCTAAGAAAATTGGAAATCACTGTAGATAGAATTAGAACCTTGGCAAAAGCACTGAATGAGAACAGAAGAGCATAATAATAAGAACATTATTTCAAAACAGAGCAAGATGTCCACGTTGCAAGCCTTAGCAAACAGGACACATGTGTTAAGACTAAAAGAAAAAAAGATGTATGTCACAAGCCCAAGATCAGTAGCTAATTTTCCCAACAGACAGTAAGACGTAAGAACACTATTAAGCTAACATGTTAAATCTCTCCCTGTGTGCTTAATTGTAGACCAATGGGAGGCATACTTAGGTAAGGCCGGGCTTTTGCAAATTAGAGTTGTTTCTAAGTGCTCTAATATACAGTATTCTTTTCTCATAACAGCCCACGGAGTTTCTTACATATCAGACATTTATCCTGATCCTTTCTTTCCTTGTGATGGATTATAGTGGTTAAGTAACATTTATTGTTCAAGAGGTTTCTGCATAGAATAGTGGTTCAATCTTTTTTTCTGCATCTCTGCTGTTTGAGTTCACAATACAACTGTGTGCAGAGCGATACCAGAATGGGAAGTGGCAACCTCCCACCCACTCCGATCTGCCAAGTAGGTTTATCAGAATTTATGAGACAAAATGAAGATCATTTGAAACAAACTCCCTTCCCATCCTGCTCGGGGAGTGTGCCTCCTCACTGTGAATCGCCGGCAGGGAACCTTAAATTCTTCAGAAAAAAAATCCAATAAATAAATGGTATCCTCATAATTCAGGAGAATACTAGAACTACTAGGAAATGAATTTTAGGACTAGGCTGATGAATATACATATAGAAGCTATACGGCAAGCCTATTAAAAATGTCAAAAATAAGTTAACCAAATATGTGACTTCTTTAGTTTATATATTTTTATGATTTCAAACTAATAATAAACTAGAGAAACTGGGTCCTATGTTATGCTTCTGTATCATTTACTGGGCAAGATAATTAGAGAATCATTTAAGATTCTTACACGCCCTATATATTTGTAAATATATGATTATTGTGCACAAAAAATTCTGAAACAGTATGCAATATATTTAATATCAGTTGATTGACAGTCTGACATGCAAGTAGATTATTTTTCACTGTATCCCTTTTGTATCATTCTACTGTTCTACTATGCTAATGTATTACTATTTTTACTTAAAATAAATAGCAGAGTAAGAAAAAATAGTATGTATCTGGCACGGACTCCGTTCAGCAGAACACAGTGGAAAGGATGACAATCCCTTACCTCTCCATCCGGTCCCAGGGCAGACTCCCCACCCTCTGCATTCTCTTCAGCCTTCTGCAAAACAACAAAAATGTTATATGTAACCAAGACGATGGGGTACAGGACTTCCTGGTAACTCTCTGGTATGTAATAGAATTTCATTGTTACCCCATTATTATCTAACAGAGCTTAAGTGTTAATGCCTTTTATGTTCATTTCTCTTTGCTGAGACAAAACATGTATTTTATGAGCAACTTGTAGAGAGTCACTTAAAGCCAGATATGATCTGAGACCAGCACACTAGAGATTTGTAGATTGTGTCTTCAGGGACCCAAAGAGCTTAAGATAGGGCAGCATCAAGACAGTGGTCAGAATCTGAAATGTTCTTCTTATGTTTGGGAGTGTGAAGACAAATCCCGACATAATTAGCTCAACTTTCCTATCCCCTAAGCAAGTTTTCTTCAGCAATGAAGAACAACATTCTAAAACTGTCCATCAAGAATAAGCTCTGATAGCAACAATAGACACTGGGGACTGCTAGAGGGGGGAAGGAGGGAGTGGGGCAAGAGTTGAAAAACTAATTATTGGGTACGATGATCTCTACCTGGGTGACAGGATCAACTGTAACACAAACCTCAGCATCACGCAATATACCCAGGTAATAAACTTGCACATGTATCCCCTGAATCTAAAATAAAAGTTGAAATAATAAAAATAAAATAAAATAGGATTCTTAATAAAAAGAATAAGCTATGAACCACTCCATGGGCATAAAAACATAATATAAAACCTTATGAGTTCCCTGGATGTTTTTAGTTCCACCTAAATTTCTTTCATAATATATAGTATTTCTACCATGTGTATATGGGAAAATTTGATGCAGATACTGTTGTCTCATGAAGAATTCTGTTATCTACCATTTCTTACATATCCCAATATCTTAGTCCATTAACTTCTATGTGCCTCAAAAACAACCTAAATGAAAAGTTAAGAATATGTCATATCAGCCAGGTACGGTGGCTCATGCCTGTAATCCCAGCACTTTGGGAGGCCAAGGTGGGCGGATTACAAGGTCAGGAGATCGAGACCATCCTGGTTAACACAGTGAAACCCCATCTCTACTAAAAATACAAAAAATTAGCTGGGCGTGGTAGCAGGTGCCTGTAGTCCCAGCTACTCAAGAGGCTGAGGCAGGAGAATGACATGAACCGAGGAGGCGGAGCTTGCAGTGAGCCAAGACCGCACCACTGCACTCCCACTGCACTCCAGTCTGGGTGACATAGTGAGACTCCGTCTCAAAAAAAAAAAAAAAAAAAAGGAAAAAAAAAAGATTATGTCATATCTTGTACATATCCAAGCAAGTCTCATCTGTAATATACGTAAAATAATGTAAAATTTCTTCCACTTATGATAACCTCTCTGACAAGTGAAATCTTTAAAATCACCTCTATAGAATCCCTATTTTAAAGTTACTGCTGGAAAGCTGTATTATTTCTGCATAGTATAACGAGAAAAAAAAAAAAAACTTTAGTCATTTCCTTTGCCAAGATGCTTGAGAAAATGAGCTTTCCTCCCTTGGGCTCTTCAGTTAATTAAAAATAAAAAATGATGATACACAATCAATATGAACTCAACTTTGTTTACTTAAGATATCGATTATATAATACGTTTTTGCCTTCTAGAAAATAACTCAACTGTCTTTTGACAAAATAGCTTTTAAGAAAACACTTAAAGTTTAAAATCCACTTTTATTCATAGTGAAGAAAGGCAGTTCCATCAGCATTTGAAATTTCTGAAGTTCTTTTACAATGCAATTTTCTTACCAAAAATACATGTATGTATGTATGCCAAAGCACAAGACATTAAAAAAATGCAGCTTCTACCAAACAGTAGGAAATAAAATACTCCCTTTGGTTATGATTTTCCAAGAAATTAAATTTCTATTTTTGTCACCCCAGAGCGAAAATACTTATAAGCTCAAAAGAAATGATCAGCTTCGAAGAGCATCAGGCTCTACATCTATGCTAGTGACACAGAGAACAATAACAGAACCCCTTTATTCAGAAAAGAAACCATCCCTGCTACCAGTCACTGAAGGTTCCATTTTTGGAATTCTCAGAATCTATACTCAGGGGACTATTTTAATTAATGGGGGAAAGTCAATTAATCCCACCATTCTTTCCATACAAATCAGAAATAAGCTACAAATTTGGCCAACAAAGAAAATCAAATGAGACAATGAATAAGCCAATTTCAAATATCTAGCAAGTGGAATTGGATCACCATTTCAATGAATAGTACATTAAAAAGCTTGAAGCATCATATATTAATATAATCAAAACTATTCTAAAGGATACTTTCCTATGAATATACTATAGACTAGCTAGATTGTTATCTAAAAACTGTCTCATAGTCAGGCCCTTCCATTACTTAAAATCCCCCAAACTATTTTTTAAAATTCTATTAGGTATCGAATCTGAGAGACAGAGTAATATTAGATTTAAGACAGTTGAGTTCTGGAATTAGACAAACTGTGTTTGAATCTTAGCTCTCCGTAATTAAGTGCAAGAGACCTTAGTTGTATGATCTTGAGCAAATCATTTTCTCTTTGCGTCTTAGTTCCCTCTTGCATAAAACAGGAATGGTAACAAACAGTACCTATATCCTAGGGCTTCTGCAGGACTGGTCACTGTTTCAACATGTACAATCCAGTGTCACAATTAATATATATGCTGCCAGCCTCAATCTCCACATTGTACAAGGGTCAACCATAGTCCAAGGACTATTCTTTTATGTCTATAATTAAGACTGGCTGTAGCATTTCCTGAAAACTGCTTCATAAGCCTATGAGGTCAGGGATTTTTGTCTGTTTCGTTCACTGATGCATTCCCACACCTACAAGGGCATTTAAAAGGCACTGAATAAACATTTGGTGATTGAAGGAATGAATGAAAGCACAAAGAGCAATGCTTTCCACTTAGCATATGCTCATTAAATTATTATTATCATAAATAGGTGCCAATACATTTGCGAGTCATAAAATAGTTAAGAGCACTTACACAATTAGCCATTGAATTGGTGCTCAGTGTGACTTCCCTCGCAAGCATGCCCTGTCCTTGAACCCAATTCTGCCATGTTATTCTAAGAGATAGAGGCCAGGTGGCAGTCTACTCTATGGCAAAAGATGTCAATTTCTCCCATCATACTTTGGATTCCTTCAGTTTGATAACATTCCTGGTTGGTGCGCTTTCATAAGCCCATGTACTCACATCAACCTCATGCTGTGCCTCAAAACTAGAAAAAACAAAGCAAAACAAACACAACTGTCCCTTTTTTTGGTTCAAAATTAACACCCAAAAGCTTGTGATCGGTCTACTGTTTGAGCTGACTTCGGACAGTCTCTAAGCACCTGAGGAAATGTCCTGGTGTGGATGCAGCAGCTGCTACAGTGTCTTCTGCCACCTGAGACATTTTCATATGTAGTTATCTGCATCGTGTAATTGCAAACGCATGCTATCAATATTAACGGTTGATGCCGGCACTTATTTCCATTGATTGAAAACAAAACAAAACACTGAACAAGAAACTTTGTACCAGCTTCTTCCTACATGCAAAAAGAGTTTAGAACTAATTATGCTTATGTAGGAAGGGAGGAGTATAATTAACCTAATCATGTAAGGGGACATGATAGGAATTATTCATAACTAAAGATTACTCATAACTCAAAATTACTCAAACTAAAGACAGTGTGTGTTCCCAATTTCCAAGGCCAATGTCAATTCGTATCTTCCATTTAGCAATGTTCACAAACAAAGGTATGTGCACGGCTACCCATCTTCCTTGCAGAAGGTATAAAAAGTAATCAACAACAGGGCTGAGGAAGGAAAGAAATCTCTAAACATGAAAATCCCGTGTAAGCTGAACTCAATAGAAGACTTCAGTAGGCCATTTTATTTAGATTACTATAACATAGGCTATAAACAGCCTCATTACATAAAGAAACAGTTTTAAATCAAATATTTTACAATCTCTATTATAAAATGAATGTACTTTATCCCCCAGTGGGTGTTATTATAATATACTGAAACAACATTCAAATGTGCTGGTATCTGAAGGACTCATTCTGTTTCGCTGGAAACCTAAGCTTTCCAAAACCACTTGAGTTATTTTTACTGTCATTTAAGCGGACCTTAAGATAGGTAATCGGGTAATTTTTAAAAATGCCCAGGAATATCAAATTAACAGGCATTTGCAAATTACTTGGGTTGTTTCTTACAGAGAAAATTAATTCGAACATTTTGACTCAAGTAACTGGTCAATCCAGTTAAACAGGACTTTGCTCTAAACTTCTAGTCTCACCCATTTTGACACTGAACTAATCAAATAAATCTAATCACTGTGGCATTGTGTTCACTTATCCTTACAATAGTTCCTACACTTGAATGTCCAGAATTACATTAGAACCTTTCTTTCATCTATGAAAATCTTGTAGAGGAAAGCTGTAATAAAGTATATAATCTTTGGGGAAACTATAAGAGATAAAAAAAAAACTGAGAAGAATCAGGGAGTAGCTTGAATTTGAAATAAATGTCTCAATAATATTACTGCTTTGCTTTTCAAGCTCTTTTTACTGAAAATTGTGCCAACAGCAGGCTATTCTGACATTCTGGTATCTAAACAGGATAAAAACACATTTCCTACCACTATATTGGCCAATACATTATGCCAAGAAGGTTCGACCTGCAAAATATCACAGTCCTGAGATTTACTTATAATAAGTGGTTGGTAAGGAAAAAGAGAGAGAGAGAGAGAGACAGGATAAAAGAACTTTTAGAAAGAAAATCGAACCCTCCAATGTAGACTATATCTGGCCTAGTGTTGCCTCAGAGATTCTGAGTATGTGCCCATTAGTATCATATGTTTCCAAAAAACGTCACAAATAAATAACACAAGAATAGTTCTGCTGGTATACATCCCACTGAAAGATGTGGAAGGGAGAATTAAATATTTAGTTTTGGCTGATGTCAACAGCTCTGGAAACTGAACCCCTGAAATAGCTTTTTTTTTTTTTTTTTTTTTTGAGACAAGAGTCTCGCTCTGTCGCCCAGGCTAGAGTGCAGTGGTGCCATCTCGGCTCACTGAAAGCTCTGCCTCTCGGGTTCACACCATTCTCCTACCTCAGCCTCCTGAGTAGATGGGACTACATGTGCCCGCCACCATGCCCAGCTAATTTTTTCATATTTTTTAATAGAGACAGGGTTTCACCGTGTTAGCCAGGATGGTCTCGATCTCCTGACCTCATGATCCACCCACCCCAGCCTCCCAAACTGCTGGGATTACAGGCGTGAGCCACCGCACCTGGCCGATGGCTAGACTTTTAAGCAACAGGCAGGGGTGCTCCTGGTATGGGCTCCTAACCACAGCTTAAGGAAAAATGTACCCTAAAGTACTGTGAGAGATGTCTCATAATCACCAGGAACCCTTGTAAATTAGAGGCCATGTAATTAGAAAATTCTCTTTGTAGGAGTTGGGGGAACAGGGTGGTAGGCAGAAGTTATCACCTGTGATAAATCCTCATTTCTCTTCTGCATGCCTCAATATTTGAAGAATCTGCCATTGTCCTCAAAGATAACCTACACACTAATATTCAACTGATTTCCAACTAGACAAGAAGTGGTGACCGATTATTACTGATTCAACACCACAAAGAATATGCAGTAAAGGTTTAAAAAAAAGATTTATTTTCAGAAAAACATAACCACATTATAATTATGATTCCACTTTCGTATCATAGAATTGCTTGATGAAATAATGTTTACTGAGCACTTACTATATGTTAGGGTATATTCTACATGCTTTAGATAAACTTTCCCATGTAATCCTCACTACATATCTATGGGGTAGATAATGTTCCTGTTGCCTTCTAAGCACTATGGTAATAGAGCTTTTAATGAAACAGCCTACAAGAGAATAACAGCAAATTAGTATATATATTTTCTTATGTAGTTTTGATTTTAAAAGATTACCTGCTAACACGACTCAATTCACTAATTTAGCCATGTTCACGCCTAGTTTTACATGTCCTGGTGCCTTTATCTAGCCCCATTCTCTTTTGTACCCTGTAGGAAACCTCAAGGTCATGCAAAACGCACATTATAGCACATTCATCTTGAACACCAAAGAAATTAGTTTCATATAACTAGGTTTTCAATACTTTAAAAATTATTCCTCCTCTGACACTTAAGGAGATACATGTAGTTCACTTCTTTTTCTTCCATTTCAAGGGCTTTAATGGAAGACCAGGCTGAGAATGAGAAGTTTCAAAATGATGTATAAATGTGTACTTCAAAAAATGTCTGTAATGATGAGAAAATTAAACAAGGTCATAACGGGTTAAAGGAAACCTACCCTATTATTCACGAGCAACAAGTAAACACAATAAACTCCCAAAGAAAGACTGAGGCCTCTATTCTTCTACGAAATTAAAAAAAAAAAAATTGTACACTAGTTTAATGCTGAAAATAAAAGGTAATCCTTTTCAGATTAAATTAAGTGAAAAAGTCAACCATATTCATGTTTAATAGCACATTTCTTAGAGTTATCTGTAGCTTAGTTGCCCTTCAAACTTAGTGCTATTAGCTATTAGCTCACTGAGTAAAGTACATTTTCTCAAAACAAAGGTTTATTGAAGTATTTGTTAATTTAAAAAATATTGATAGGTACAGCATAATATTTAATACCATAGAAAAGTGCTAAAAAGGATAGCAGAGATTTTTATGCTCATGGACATAGAAGTTTTCCTCCACCCAGAGAAGTTAGAATAAGCAACTCCCAATCATTCACTCTAATGGAGGGAAGAAGAACTACAGATAATCCAAAATGTCAAATCAGCTTTTCAAAGTATCCCCTTCCTTTGCACTTGAATAAAGGTGCATCTGGAACTGGATAATTCACTCTGAATGAAGTCTTAAAGCCTCGCAAAAGAGACAGGTACCAGGAAGGGCTAAGGGCCTCAGTTTCTTTTCTTTTTTTTCCCCCCTTTCTTTGTCCCACTTCTCCCAGTAAGATACCCTGGAAGGAAACAGAGCCCCTCCAACTTAGCCCTGCTGAGGGCAGGGAGTGCTCAAATGCTAGGCACCCAAGAGCATGCAAGGAAGGGCAGATGGCTGACCACAAAGTAAAAATTCTGCACATTGATCATATGAGATAATCAATGAGAGATACTCAAAGATATCTGTAAGGTAGACAATAGTTGCTTTGACATCTATTACTCATTTGCCAAGAAATCAGGCCCCACTTCCAACTGGAAACAGTTTCCCTCCACAACATTCATCCCAGCTTGTAATTGTATATTTGGGTGAGTGTTGGATTAATATCTGTCTAGCTTCTCTTTCTCTCTCTGATCAGTATCTGTCTAGCCTCTCTTTTTCTCTCTCTGATTAAATTGTGAGAGAAGGCAGGATGTTTTCCTCATCATTGTACCCTCCTTCTCCCAGCATTCTAGCACATGACCTAGCTCATAGTAAGTGTTCAGTTAGCGTATGTTGAGTGAAAGCGTAAGACACAAAGAATAAGTGCTATTACCAAATTGAAGGCAAGGGTTTGAAAGGGGCGTGCCAACTTACAGATCATGCAGAGTAACACCTGAAAAATAATTGTGACAGGTCCCTGTTCTGTACAGATGAACACACAAATATAGGCATAATCATCAACACTCAATTGTGTATCTTTCTCTGCCTATGATGATGTAGCTATCTAACACCATGGCAGAAATCTATTAATTGTAAGCCATAATCTCAAATCTGGGTCATTAGCTTTTAATCATAAAGAAATGTAAAACACAAATTTTAATACTAGAAACACTAACAGTGATAACCTCTGCAAAACACACGGCTGAATTAGGAAAAACTAAAAACTGCCATTTAATGGGATCCACTTACAGAATATTCCAGAATTCCATCTTTCTCTGCTATCAATATGTCAGTAATTTCTTTTTAATTTTTAAACATTTTTTATGGAAGTCAAATAGACATAAAAAATTTACCATCTTTATCATTCTTCAATCTACAGTTCAGTGGTAATAACTACATTTATATGATTTCTTTCCCCATCATCCTTCCCTCTCCCTTACCTATATGTTCCTCACTAATTCTGAAAACATCTTTTTAAGGTAGGAATTGGAGCTGGAGTTTTGCACAGTCTATAATGCTACACTGACAAGAAAATGAGGTATTCCTCACCAACAAAATGTCTAAACACAAGCCCTGAGTCATCTCTCGTTCATCTTCACAATGAGGTAAGCTATCTTATACTAAAGAAATCAGTGCAAGAAGGCACCTTCTTAATCACTTATTCCTCCTCCTTAATTATGAAACATAATTTTTCCTCAGGTATGAGGATTCAGGGGCCATGAAATTAATTATTTTTTGAAAAGCAATTTGTTCAGTTATTCAGTGTACAGAATGAATGATTAAATGCTACCAATCCTCAACCTTTACAATTGTGACTTCCTGTTGATGTTTGTACCTGGCCTAAACAGAATTTATCATGAAAACACAGTATCAACCAAGAACTAGATGACTGGACGATTTAGGCTTCAAAGAGGATCATATTCACAGGCCTGTCCTCAGCAGGTTACTCTTGAATTGCGATACAATATCTGTAGATATTCTAAATCTTACCCTTCATTTCTCATGATAATTAGGAAATATTTCACATAGGGACTCTTTTTTTATGTGATTACCTAAAACCCCAATGTGCACACTCACCTCACTGCGACACAGGGACAGAACTGAATGAAGAACTTTGGCACTGCCTTCTGTCCAAGTAACTATCGCCTATGTCTTCCTCTGGCTTCTTCCAACCTGTACACTGCATTTTCTTCTTAAATTTCTTTCATAATTGAGTAATCCCCTGTCATACTAGCATTAAACTTAAGCAAACACTTATTTGTATCTGTTTTTCCTTTCCCAATTAACTGTATGTACTTAATTTAAAATCTATTAAACAATGATTTATGAACACTGTTTTAGTTTAGTACATCCTATTATTACGCCCTTACCTCCAATAGTTGTCTAGTATACCTAACCAACACTTTCATGCCATACCCATTTACGCAATTTTCACAATTCAATCATCTAAACTTTCACCAGTTTAAGTAGTACTTAAAGAGCAATACTCGCCTTAAACTTATCCCTGCCCATACACCCGGGACTCAGCTGCCACCACTAGGATACGCACCTTCTTCCTCCTCCTTCTCTTCTTCTTCTCTTTGGCTGCCTGGGCTTGCTTGTGCTCCCAAACCAGGTTGGTCAGATTGGCTACATACTCATCAGTCTGCTGCAAAAGGTAAGCTAAACGCCTGTCTTTCTTTTGATCAATCAGTTTTCTATAGCCTTCCTCATCTTCAGCCTATTAAGGAAAGAAGAGTACGATGAGAGCATAAAATAAGCATGCAGACAACTCCACTCTCCACTCTGTCCTCCCCTTGACGGTCTGCACTTTGACTGGTAGGAGTGTAGCAAACTGGATGAGTTGGGCTGTTCAAGCCATTGCACAGAGTTTGAAGCAGGGCAAACACACAGAAGTGTGACGCCTACATCCCAGGACACTGGAGTTTACAGCAAAGTCCGGGCACAAAGCCACGCTGTTCGTGTGGTGTGATTAAGCACTCTGAGCCAGCTCTTTGTTTTCTGTGTTGCTTTAACTGTACAAAACGATTTTAGAATTTGATGACTCATGATCTAAAGTTTATCTTTAACTCTACATTTCAGAAATTTTCAAATATAATCAAAAGCAGAGAGAATAGTATAGTTTCTCCTATAACCAACTCCAAACAACAAAAAGTAACTTGTGGTGATTCTTGTTTCATTGCTACTCTTCCCCTAAACCCAAACTGAATTGTCTTGAAGCAAATTCCAGACATAATATCCTTTCATTCATAAATATTTCAATAAGTACTACTAAAGGCAATGAATCAAATGGGCTTTTAACAAATAATGTCTTGTATTTAAAAAAGTCTTTCTTTTTGGCCTTACAAACTTTGTGGTTGATAGGAAAGATCAAATTTGGGGGATTTTTTTTTTCCCCCACAGATCTGCACTGAGTAATGGGCCCAGGTGACTGGAGACAAGTCACTTAGCGCCTGAAGCCTGGTACTGCTGAGCAATAAAACAGATACAGTAATTTCCACTTCCACCTCCCATTAAGCAACATGATGAGGTTAAACGGAATAAAATTCTGATGTACTCTGAGCCATTCTGAGAGAAATGTCTTTGTGTATCCCAATAAAAGGACACTCCAAATTATTTTTATCATGTAATGCCACGATAAAAGGAACAAGCTGCAAAATCTTTAAGCGGCAACCCCATTGCAAAAACAAAAACAAAAACTTGGGATCTTCTGTCCAGGGGTGTCACTCTAGCATCTGCCTGAGTGACAGCAGCTTCATCGCTCAGTCTAGCTGCCGTCTGCCCTGTGGATGAGCAAGAGCCTCAAATGCTATTATAACTCTAATTGCTTTTGGTTATGGTTGAACTCACTTGAAGAAAGAGTGATAAAAAACTTCAGTTTCTCTATTATCTGTATATTCCATCATTTAATTGCAAAAATTAATGATTTGCAAATGCCTAATCATTAGTGTCAAACCAATCTGTTACTGAAGTTCTAATATAGTTTCACTTCAGTTGAGTCAGACAAATTTGACTGCTTAGTGATCAAATTACTATAAAAATGGTCTAGTCAGAAACCTCTTGGACAGTCCCCTCTCTCCCCAGCATGGAGAGGGAGGCAGGATAGGGTAGTAAGATGTGGTAGTACCTGGACACAGAGGCTTTTAAAACATGGTGTTTACTCTCTGGAATTCAAAAAATGAAAAAAATGCAAACTGCAATACCAGCAAGGAAGACAGTGTCACTTAGAATTTTTCAGGAACATAATTATGGGCTAAGACTAATGACCTTATCTTCATCTATGCAGGCATTATGTCCTAGATAGAACCTGCAGGTCTCCTATAATTATAACATCAACATACGTTTTTCTAAAATCCACAGTGTGCTCTGAGGTCCAATTCCAAAAATAAATGGTCAATAAAAACAAATACTCAGGCCAATGATATAAACCTATCTCTTCCGTGCTTATACTTATATACTCATTAAAAAATAATAGTGCAAATGTAATGATCCATGAATAGCCTTTGACCATAACATGGCTATCACAAAAAAGGCAACATTTCAAAATCAACTTAAAAATCACTTATTACACTGTTACAGAATAATTTCTCCCATTAAAAAAGAAAGATAAGCACCAGAGGCTTCAAAATACAGACCTTCTTAGATGTGAAGACACGACTTAATGTGTTATTCATTCCAAAAAACATGGTCATTCATCTCAAAGAGGCCATATTTTTTAAAGAACTGCATTTGCCATCCATCCAGATTTGGTTATCAAACTCTTGCAAAATATAGTACCTGCTTTTATGAGAGAAGCTGTAATCTGTACTGCAATGCCACCCCAGGACACAGAAATACTATACTCATCAGTCATCCCCCTAGATTTTTGGCATATGCTGTCCAGGAAAAAGTTTTTACTTCATCTCCCTAAGGTTCAAATAAATTTATTAAAATTTTTGATAAGCAGTTTTCACTTTTTCCTTCTACTACCACCATATTTAATGGTCTCATGGCAGACGGATGTGGGTTGAGTGGTTTCCTGGGCTCCTGCAGGGAGTTCCTTACCATCAGTCGCCGCATTCTCTCCTTTTCAATCCGCTCTGTCTCCTTCTTCTGCTCTCTTTCAGTGTTGGCATGCCAAGTTGCCACTGCTTTGGACAGCTTCTGGATCTTTCCGGCCACAGACCGATGATATTCCTTAAAATCTTTTGCATGTTGCAAAATACTGTTCAGGTATTCCTAGAGGATCCAAAACGGGAAGAAAAGGATACTTAAAATCCATTGCCCAATGTCCTCTGAGCTATCAATGTGTCCAAGCAAACTCTTAGTGTGTGTTTAACAGCATGGGAAGACTAGAATCTGTTTGGGGATAGGTGCCCTAGTATGTCTCTGCAGTTGACGTGTGGGCCATGGGGCTGGTGGGAAAGATGGCCTCTTTAGGTTCCTTTTGTTGCAAGCTTTTGCAAGAGAAGCCTCCTCAGCCTTGAGGGTGTGGTCACATGAGAAGGGAAAGATCAAAGACTGAAAGAGACCTACAAAATGGCAATGATAAAATGTGCAGCAAACCACTCATTCACTCCAAAATGAACCTGAGGAACATGGGCAGTTCCAGCAAAAAGTATGTCATAAAAGTAATGTTTTTCTGCTCTAATTTAACTACCCTAGATTATGACCCAAAGTAAGCTGATACAAAGTTAAAATTGCCATGCAGAATTTGTATCCACTTTTTAAATATATCTCTATTTACACTAAAATCCCACATTTTTTTCAAAAGGAAACTAAGCTAAGCACTAAATTAAGCACAGGAAAACAAATACAATTTATAGGACTATGACAGGAAATCAAATCCTACATCAAAATATTTCCAAACCCCCAGAAAGGAATGTTTTTAAATATTTGCCTCTGTGAAATATTCAACTAGTCCCTTCAAAGAGGCCAGGATACTATTATATTTGTTATGAAAATAACTTTTTGCTCTCTACTTTCCTTTTCCAAGTTCCTGCTCCCAGAATTTTGCACTAGGAAACCCACCTATGCCCACCCATTCAAAAACTTTCCATGGGATTATGAACATGACACCTGTTATGGACTGAATGTTTGTGTCCTCCCAAAATGTATATATTGAAATACTAACTCCCAATGTAATGGTATTAGGAGGTGGGGCCTTTGGGAGGTGATAAGGTCATGAGGGTGGAGCCCTTATGAATGGGATTAGTCCCCTTATAAAGGAACCCCAGAGAACTTTCTTGGTCTGCTTCCACTACATAAGAAAACAAGAAGTTAGCAGTTTGCAACCCAGCAGAAGACCCTCACCAGACCCCGGCCATGCTAGTACCCTGATCTTGGGCTTCCAGTCTCCAGAACGGTGAAAAATAAATTTCTGTTGCTCATCAACCATCCAGTTTATGCTATTTTTTTTTTATAGCAGCCCAAACAGACTAAGACAGTAATAAACCTCATTCTGCTGCTGAGCAATTGTATGACCTTGAGCAGGTCATTTATATGTCCTGGCCTAAGCGTCCTTGCCTATAAAATGATGTGGCTGGATTATGTAAATGTCAAGGAACCGTTCTGTTCTGTGATGTCCCTACCACCTACAAGGGTCCATTTTTCAGTCATTCTGACCCCACTCAATGACCTCATTGGACAGCTCTGTCAAAATGAGGGTGAGCAAAGCCCAGGGTCTAAGAACCTGGTGTTTCTGACGGCGTTTCCTCTCCTGCTCAATCTTCTGCTGCTTCTCCAGCTTCTCAGTCATGCGAGCTTCTCTCAGAGTCTGGCGCTTGCTCCGTTTGTATGCTTTGGAGTTGAGAGCCGTCTCCAGGGTTGTGTCCCTGCGCATGCAGGCCACCACCTCCTGTCTCAGCTGTCAAGAGGAGAGCAGTTAGAGAGCCTTCCCAAACAGAAGCTAGGTTCCCGAACCCTGGCCTTCTCTAGGTTGCACTTAATGGAACAGAGTGGGGCAGGGAATCTCTACAAGCTTCTCAATCATCTTTGGTTTGTATTAAATGAAGGAACTGAAATCACGCCAAATGTATGCAATATTTTCAAGGATGGTACAAGATTTTTTCCCCCAAATAATTCAAATCAAAAGCAATTATAGTACTGTAACATTAAAAGAAAGAAAAGATGTTGTCTTGCCTTTTAAATAACTTCATTTTATCTAATTATTCTAATGATACTAATTAGCTAATAAGCTTTTTAAATTTTTCACTTTGTTTTAAATGTCATGTTAACATTCTCTTTGTGTTTAAAGATTAATTTTAATGATGCTCCAAAAAAAGAATAAAAGAATTACTTTCACGTATGGTAGCAGCAGGTACTCCACCAACGTTATTTCATAGTCTCATACAAAGAATGGGAAATATGAGTTTTGGCTTCTTCCCACTCCAATAATAATATTCTTTCCAAGAGAGCTACATTTTGTATTATATCATGAACTTATTTTAGAACATCACAAATGTAATACTTTTATCTGTATTGCATGCTATGTGGTGGTAGGGGGTAGGGACTGGAGAATACACATTAAATAATCATTCCACTGAATCTGAAATCATCATTAGTTAGTTAATTTAATTGGGAAGCTTCATAAATAACAGATTTTTAAAATAATATCAAACAAAAATCAGAAACCAATAAGAATCCAGCACAGCAATGCTAATTTGAACATAAACTTATTCCTGAAAATATACTTGGTTAATATTCATTTAGTGAGATTTTATCCTTTATTAATTCATCTTGTGAGGTCACCAATAAGAAAGAAGTAAACAGAACTCAGAGAATTTTCCCTCTTCTTTTTAAAATTTAAGCTGAAATCTACTCTCACAAACCAAGGGCCAAGTAGCACCTACTCACCACTAATGTCCATCTGTGATATTATAGCCAGTAAGGCAAATATACACCCAAATTCCTACAATAGCAAGGGGAGTGGCCTGTGATTTTACTCGCATCCTCCAACAGACCAAGTCAATACTTCCAAACTACTTTTACTCATTAATCATTCATTTTGCATGTTCCAGGCTTTAACAAAACAAACCCATCTGACTAACAATGAAAGGCTCCTTATCCCCTTTGGCTTAGTGAGGCAATCTGTGGACTAGCAAACTTGAACATTCTGAGTCCACAAGGCAAAACTCACCAAAGTGAAAAGTAGCTCTAACTCATTCCACTAGTCTCTTACTAATTTAGAAATCAGAAAATAGGTCATTATACTGGCTTTTAATAACTACTGTAATGACAAGATAATTTACAGATTAGTCACTGTATGAGCCTGATGTGATCAAACACTCCAAACTTAGATATTGGTGAATAAGTAAGCTATAAGACACTGTTTTATGTATTTCTATAAATGATGAACTAATTCAGTAGAGTGGCTATCATATTTGTTAAAATTCTTTTCACAGTCGTGGCTAGCACTTAACATCTGTGCTTACAAAGAAGCTCCAATCTACTACCTTCTGGTTTTTCCTTGGAGTCATAAAGGCAAACATGAGCTACCCCACTTGTTCCCAAGGTTTTTAATCCATGGTAACAAAATGCCGTAACTCTTGACTTTGTAAACCATAGTACAGGAGGAAAAACTCTTTCCCATATACAGAAGAGAAAACCAGAATAATAAGCAGTTCATCTTCATTATTTTTAGTTGTAAGCTGTTGGTCTAAAAGATTCACTATTTTACTATGTTTCTATCTTTATATCTTTATAACAATATCGAATAGACTAAAGGCAACACAGATAACACTTTAGGAACAATTACATTTATTTCCTACATCTCAGATTCACTGGGGAAAAGGTATTACCTGACGCTGGAAATTGAGTAACCGAAGTGCTTTTAGTTCCACGGTTGCTTTGGTTCGTAAATCTGGTGGCAAAGAGCCAGGCAGATTTTCCAGTTCTTGTATCCTATGAGCTATGCGGGCCTGAAGTCTGAAGGAAACAATAAAACGGGGAAAAGGGGGCAGTGGAAAAACACATTACAATTTAATGTTACATGATAAACAATGACATCAGGTTTAAGTTCAGGGCAAAACATATTCCAGATACTGATAGTTGATTTCTGACACCCAACTAGAATTTTTGATGTTAAGCAGAGAAAAGCTACCTTTGTATTAATGCAGACAGGTATATGTTAATTTAACAATGTGGCTTCCTCCATAACCCCTATCTAACACCAGGGAAAGAAGGTTCACCCTGTATCTAGTGGGGAAGTCAAATGTCCTTGCTCACTCTTAGCAGAGAGAGAAATGAGAGACAGAAACAATTGACTCGCTTCCTAACTCCCAGCCGGACAGAATGCAGAGCTGAGAGGACACACTTTTTTCTAACTTCTAGTTCTGTCCTAAGGCAACAGGACCATTTGTCTTCTTTGCCAAGATGCCGATGACGAACAGCCATTAAAGCGGAGAGAGCAAGAACGGTTTTAGGTGCTGATGCCACAGAAATCAGCCAACCCTAAACATTCAGAAAGCGCTCTGCCAGCCACAGCCACTTCCTCCGTGAGCAGAGCTTGCTTGAGAAAAGAAAATACAAATGAGGCTGTTTTTAAAAAATCAGGGCCAGCAGTAAATAGTACTCAAAAACCAAGAGTTTCTAGAAAAGGATGTTGAGGATTCTCGTTTTACACACCATCAAAAATATAACTGTATGTACTTCCGCATAATAAAGGCAGAGTAGAAAAAAAAAGACCTCTCACTTTAGCCATTCACTTGGGATACTATTACTGTTAGATATATAAACTGCTGGTTTTAGAGTTCACCTGAATCCTATTCTGACAAATAATTATATGCCATTTAAGCCTGTTTTTAGAACTACATCCCCTAAATTTGAGGCAAACTGTACTGAACTAGATTTCAACAAAGAAAGAATAATGATAAAATGAGTAATAAGTTAAACTAGGTTAATATTAACAGCACTAAGTGCCTTTAATGCATAATTTTATTTAATTGTCTCTCTCTTACACACACAGACACGCCTCTCTCTATAAGGTAAATGTTATAATGGTCCCATGTTACTGATGAGGAAAACTGAAGACACCTGGAGATACCACAGAGCTAGTAAAGAAGGGGGCCAAGACTGGAACCTCAATTTGCCTGATACCAAAACCACTGCAATGAAACGGTAGATAATTAAAATATACTTTCTGAGAACCTTCCTGGACCTCAACTACAAAAGTTGAAAATTAAGAATTCTGTTTAAAATTATGCACAGCCATTAAAAAAAAAAAAAACAACCAAATCATGTCCTTTGCAGCAACATGGATGCAGCTGGAGGCCATTATCCTAAGCAAATTAATGCAGGAACAGAAAACCAAATACCGCATGTTCTCACTTTTAAGTGGCAGCTAAACATTGGGTATTCATGGACATAAAGATGGCAACAATACGCACTGGCGACTACTAAACGGGGGAGGGAGGGAGGGCAGCAAGGGTTGAAAAACTTTTAGGTACTATGCTCATTAGCTGAATGATGGGATCCTTTGCACCCCAAACCTCAGCATCATGCAATATACCCATGTTAAGAAACCTATTCATGCATCCCCTGAATCTCAAATAAAAGTCGAAATTATCTTAAAAAATGAATATTACAGTTTTTTCCAAACATGATGGTGTTGCCAGACTACAGAGCTGAGAGGACAGACTTTTTTTCTTTCTAACTTCTAGTTCTGTCCTAAGGCAACCAGGCCATTTGTCTTCCTTGCCACGATGCTGATGATGACAGGCATCATTTTCATTAACATGAAAAAGTAAAACCTCCTGGACCTAAATGCTGTAGAAGATCTAATACTTCATATAGCCAAATATCAAAATGAGTGATTTTTTTAAAAAACCTACAGTTGCTTAGTTTGGAAGGGAAATAAAATGTCATCATTTTTAAAAATTTTAAAATGGTGGTAAGGAAAACTATTTTTCAGGGACTTCACTAAAAATAATATCTACGACTGATTCTTATTTTATTTGCTAGATACATGTTATTCATTCTAATGTATTAAATGATTTGTCATCATAATGTGTTAATATTATCACTGCTACCATGCTGTTGTTATTTTTTGTTTATTTGTTTGTTTGAGAGGGAGTCTCACTCTGTTGGCCAGGCTGGAGTGCAGTGGCACTAGCTCGGCTCACTGCAATCTCCGCCTCCTGGGTTCAAGCAATTCTCCTGCCTCAGCCTCCCATGTAGCTGGGGCTACAGGCACGTGCCACCACGCCTGGCTACTTTTTGTATTTTTAGTAGAGATGGGGTTTCGCCATGTTGGTCAGGCTGGTCTCAAATTCCTCACCTCAGGTGATCCGCAGGCATCAGCCTCCCAAAGTGCTGGGATTACAGGCGTGAGCCACCATGCCTGGCCCATGCTGTTGTTTTAACTGTGCATACCAACACAAACAACAGCATTTTAAAATGGTTTAATCATTCAAAAGACTGAAAGTTTTATATTTCATGCACAATAATAAATTCATCATTTTACTCTTTTGGCAAAATTGTTCCAATTCTCCCAACTTTCTTCCACATTCCTTTTACTAGTGATACGCATGAGATTATTACTTTTCACTATATGAAACAGACATCTACTTCATTTACTCATTTTCTAAAACATCTACATAGCCCCCAAATATCTGGATACAGCAACAGATGTTGCATCTTAACAATTAAGATGTAAAGAAAAAAATCCACTACTGATTTTTTTGAAATATAGAATTTAAAGGGAAAAAATAAAACTGAGACAACTTTGCTTTTACAGGTTAAGGTCATACCAAAGGAAAGTTAAATATTATAGTGGCGTGAGATCATGGCCAATGATTTGGTTATTCCAGTTCCTTGGTTCTAGATTCCTTGCAGATCTTTCTTATTTGAATATCCTAGAACTCAAACTATCCCTTGGTATTCTGATTTACTCTCTTTGACAAAGTGGGTCAGATGCTAAATTAGAGGAATTCCTACTTAATCTTCCAAACAACCATGGAACTAGGACTAAATAAATAATCATAGGACAACTGGGTTGACAGGGTAGAGATTACATCACACTGAACTGGACGGTGGAAAGTAGGGAAGTGTAGGGAAAATGAGGAGGTGGGGAGTGGGAACCCGGGGTAGATGGGGCACTGTGTGACTAAGGCACTGGAGAGACAGGGTAGGAGCAAGAGGGCTGCACTTCTCCCTGAAATGACTACTTCTCCAAGGAGCCTAGTATTTGTCAGTGAATCTGATTCCCTGGCACAAAAGAATCCCTCTTCCATGGAAAGGAGGCAAGAAGTACAAAGTGCAAACTCTAGGAGAAGAGGAAAGGGAGATTCCATAGTAAAATTATATGCATTTGATTCAGCACATGGGGGGGGGTGAGTAGCAAAGGTATAGGAGGGGCTTCTTTAACACACAAGATTGTATCTTTGTTGTTGTTGTTGTTAATAGAAATCTTCATTTTAAATAATGCTCCTCTCCAGACAATTTCATCTCCCCATCAGTGAGATTCAGCAGGTAGTCCGATAAAGAGATTCAGGATTCTAAACTTCCCGAAACAACAACAAGATGTAATACTGTATAACTGCAGGAGACTCATTTAGTGTCCTCACGAGTACAGAAAATTGATGCAGAATTAGGTCACACAGGTTTTTCATACAGATTGAACAGTAAATCAAGAGGGGTTACTGTTCTGGCAAGAAAAAGAGTTCCATTAAAGGCAACAGATATTTGTTCAGGTCCAGAGGAGAAGTTTATGATTCCTGTAGGAGAGTTATTTGAACAGAAAATGACACTGGTACATTTTGTTCCTTCAAGGAACTGAGTGACACTTTAAAAAGAGAGTGTGTGTGACTTTTTGTAACTCTGCAAGTAAAGCAGCTATTCGTAATTTTTGAGAAGGAATTTTCAGGATTGCAATGGCGACAAGGGCAGGACAAAAAAAAAAAAAAATCACAGGTAAGCAGCCTATGTCTGCTTCCTGACACAAGCAGGATATACCGCTCTTTTCATACTAAATTCTGACTTTATTCCGAAGAGGGCTGATGTAATTCAGAGATGTTCTTCCCAAATAAACTCCTTCAAGTGTGAAATACATCTTCCATGCAAACATCTGCGGAATTAGTTTACATGCCAATGTGATGATTCCTGAGGTACTTTTGACCAGACATCTAATTCTAAATAGAAGAAAGAGAAGTTAGGCACAATGAGAAGCCAACAAAAGTGTGCCAAAAAGAAAAAAAGAAAAAAAAGCAGTCCAGGGAAATATCTCTCTGACACTTACTATGGAAGTAATAAAGTTCCATTACAAGAGAAAGATGGTCAAAAAGAAAGGATCCAATTTAAGCGGGAAAAATGTTTCAACTAGAGAGTTCGTACAAAGCTGCAGCAAAGTGCTCATAGGCAGACATCTATTTATGCTATGAATGAAAAGGAAGGTCAATTTGTCAACGTTCTGCTTTTATGATGAACAAGGAAAAGCAGCCAACTGACTTAAATGTTAAAAAAATTTAAGATTCTGAAAATTTCCTGTCAAATTTCATAGACAAGGTAAATGATATTACAAGACCCAAAGAAATTAACATCTGTTCAAGAATTTGACACATGATTTTCGCTCAAACTAAGTTTATCAAATTGTAAAAGAGGTTTTTTAGACCTTTCTCTAATCTTTGATCAGATGATAAAGATGCACTGGATCCTAACAGTTATCAATGCTAAAGGCTGGTAAGCCATTCTATCACAAAGGGTCAAAAGAAGAAAAAAAAATAGTTTATTTGTTGTCCTTTGCAAGTGCCTAAGGGACCTAATTTAACCCTTTTAAGGGATAAATGTAATCTCTGCAGTTGAACAACTTATCTTCATATAGGCAGAAGACAAGTTACTGCTCTGTAACCAAAGAATACAAAACATGCCCCATAATGTTGTCACTACAAAACGATGCTTCTTCTCCAGGTGGCCATGGGAAAATTCAGGCCAAAGGACCCACAACCTTTCCGGATTCAGGGTTGTCCAGATCAGTCATTTCAAAAACCACAAGGCTTTACAAAGGAGTAGGCATTTATAAAGCAATAATAATACTATGAAAAATAGCCATTCTCCACATTTTGCAATGCACATAAGTTAAAAGATACTGACAGCATTTTTTATTGACATAGGAGTGCAGAACAAAATCTTTTTATACATTGGAAATAGTACTACTTAATACTGTGTACTTTGGAAGACCATTCATTAAGGTAATCTCCAAAAAAAGTTTCTAAAATAAACTTATTACAAGAAAGTCCTGCAATGAAAATTCCAGAAAAAATGATCAAGAACATTTAGGAGCTGGCAAAATAAAAAGTTAAAACACACTTGTGCACACACACATACCAGGCTGAAAAAGGCAAAAAGTCTAGACATACGTAAAAATTTCTAGCTATAGAAAGCATCTCTCTTCTATGGGTAGTTCACATAGTTTAACAAAGGTACTGGTAATTCAAATGGGAAAAAAATGTTTTAACTAGGGAGCTTGTACAGAGCTTTTTCCTTTACTAGGGTAGGAAAAAAAATATTAGCTCTTAGGAAGTCAGAATTTTAGAGCATCCACATTGTATTTCTCCATTCTATTACTGATTTTTTCCAATACTTTTAGTTTTTTAAAAATTCAACAGCAACATACAGAATGTACTGCACATTAGTCTACTGCACATGAACAGAGGAATATGCTAGCATTTCACTTTATAACACACCGCAATTATTCACCCAGCAGAATCTGCCTATCAGCACTGAAATATCAATTGACAATGAGTATCTAGTTCTCTGGGAATACATGAAATGTTGGAAATAGCAAGATAAAATATCTTAACAGATGATTATTAATAGTAATGAGAGTAAAGTTACACTCTTCATCCAAAAAAATAAACACATCTAATGGCAAGTAATCCTGATTTCTTTCAGAGTACCTCTCAAAGCTGGTAACTTAGTATTTTAGTCTAACAACAAATGAGTGATGTGCTTTTCAATAAAGATTAAGGTAATGTTTTAAAAGGGAGCCTAGACATGGTTTACCAACATTCTGTATAATTTTTAAACTCTAATTTTCCTTAAAATTAAGAAGTATTTGGGAAATAATAATAGCTATTATTTATTGAATGTTTCAGTATCATTTTATCTTCCCAACACTATGAGAGGTACCTTCTTTTAGCCTAGGAGGAAACTGAGTCACAGAAAAGAGACATAACTTGACCATGGTAAGAAGTTACTAATGACACAGTATGCTTTCTGGCAGACTCCAGAATCCACAATCTTAGCTTTATTTTATCTTGACTTAATACTTGCTGGACTCCCTTTTGGGTTGACATTAACCACTTACATCAGGGGTCTTCTAACTACAGCCTGCAGGCCAAATCCTGCCTCCAGCCTGTTTTTGTAAAGTTTACTGAAAGGCAGCCAGCCCATTATTGTCCACGGCTGTTTTCCTGTTTTCGCACTACAAGGGTAGAGGTGAGTTGTGACAGAGATCATATGGCCCCACAATGCATAAAATATTGACTATCTGGCTCTTGACAGAAAGGGTTTGCCAGCCCCTGATTCTGATAAATGGGCTGAATCAGGTAAAAATTAAGTTCCTGGACTAATAATTTAAATAAGGACCTTGTATAGAGACACTTGCACAGGGTATACCCATAAGGCTGGATCACGCCATAGACACACGTGAATTAAAACAAAGTTTATACAAAGCTACCAAAGTATGCTTGAGTAGAAATGTACAACTAACATGAAAGTCAGGCCAGCACAACACACTCAACATCCCACCACCTCAGTCATTATTCAACGACACAAGTACAAACAATGACAATGTATTCCATAATCGAAGTGTGAGATGATCACTTTCTTGGGTCTACAGGAAGTCCCCGGCGGCTTTTGATCTTCAAAACCCCAGTGCCTACCTCGGCACCTGGCAGGCCACAGGGGTGGATAAAAGTTTTCTGACTGAATAGGTGAAAATCACAGTTTGGCCAACCAATGGGCAGGCACCTCACCCCCCTAGGCTTGGTGGCACTTGCTAGAACACACAGCCGGTGAGCCCCTTTCTGGTGGGGTGCATTACCTGTATTCCCGCTCCTGCAGAATTTCCACGGGGTCCAGGCCTTGCGGTTTCTGGATGGGGCTGATACGGCTCTGCTTCTGCTGCAGCTGAAGGATGGGCGAGGGCTGCCC